TGAGCCACCGTGCCCGGCCTCTTTTTTTTCTTTTTAAATAAAGTCAAAGCTTCTGCTTTGACGTTTGTCAAAACTAAGACATTAACAGTGGTACAATACTATTAACTAAACTGCAGGCTTTATTCAGGTTTCACTTTTTCCATTAATGTCCTTTTTTTGTTCCAGGATCCGACACTGCATTTAGTCACCATGTCACTTATTGACTTTTAATCAGTGTTATCTTTTTTTTAAAGTGTCATTTAAACTTGTTTGGGGGAAAAAAAAAATTAAAGATCATAGTGATGTTGGCTTTGATTCGTAAGACTGGTCATTTGTTTTTTCGGGTACCTCCCAGGTGAACAGGGGCCTGGGTCATGGTCCTGAGGTCCAGAGAATTGTCCGGCATTGCTGACTGTGGCCACACGCCAGCGTACTTTTCCCCTGAAGGCATCATTAAGACAAGGTGGGGCCCAGTGTTTACTCTCTGTGGACCTGTCACCCACCCCTCCTAGGTCGGGTTTCTGGGATTTCCTCAATCCCTTTAGCATTCGCAGGGCAGATGGAGTGACTTTCAACATCCTGTGGGCCTCCCTTCTCTTCCTCCCAGGACCCGGCACATTCGTGGCTTTGCTTCTGTTTTCTTGCTGGCACCTCTCAAGAGCAGATGAGCAGCACCTAGAGCCAGGTCCCGGGTTCAAATCCCAGCTCTGCTACTTACCAGCCATACAGCCCTGGGCATATTATATGACCTCCCTTTGCCTCAGTTTCCTGATCTGGGAAGTGGGGGGTGGTGAAGAGTATGTGAGTGAATACACATCAAGGGTCCACACAGAGCCTCGTGCCAGGAAGTGCCCAACACATGGGTCTGTCATGCTGTCAACCTTGCCCGCTGGCTCCAGCCTTCTGAGTCCCTAAAATGGCTCCGATCCGCATGGCCTTGGCAGCCACCCATGAAACTCTCTGCACTGCGGCAGCCTCCTCAGTCTCCTCTCAGTGAGCCCTCGTTCCGTCCTCATGGGCACGTATTCATTCCACTTTACTCCCACCGCCCACCGCAGTGTCAGGACGCCTAAGCAGCCGCTTGGTCAGGCACAGGGACATAGAGATGAGGAATACACAGCTCTGCCCTCAAGGAGTTGAGGCTTGGCAGGCAGGAGACATGAAACCAGACAATGGCACTAAGCACTCTGTCCCCTCATGGGTTCTAGTGACTCCTGAGCCTCAGGTGTTCCCAGCTTTCTTGGTGTCTCTATGACCGACCTCCATGGGGAGGGTGCCTTTCCCTGAGCACAGCCCCTTCTGCTCCAGGGCCCCCAGCTGGGGCTGGGGGCCATGGGAATATCATGTGACACAGGAGTGAGAGCCGACACTGCTCTCACACCTGCAGAGCCCCCGACTCTGAAAGGTGGAAAGTCTCACCTGCCAGCGTTTTCTCAGGACCACCTACTGGGCGCTTGCCCTGTACCAGGCACAGGCCTGGGTGTTTCACATGCAATACCTTTGTTAACTCTCACATCGAATTTGTACCATAAAGGCTACTGTTACGGCAATCTTACAGACGAGGAAACTGAGGCACAAGGGGCTACTCTGTTCAAACCAGAAAGTAGCAGAGCTGAGATGTGAATTCTAGTCTGATGGCATCCGACGTCCCTGGTGGCAACATTTCCCCCTGTGATCCAGGGGTTTGGAGTAAGCCGTGAAGCCTGAGGTGTGGGTGGGGAAGGAATGTGTGTGGGTCAATGGGCAGGAGTCACCGGAGCCCTGGGGGAGGGGCCGTCTGCTCACCTGCAGCAGCTCCAGGTCTGCGGGCTCGGCCTGGGTGGGCACCAGCTCCGTCAGCATCTCCGACATCACCCTCACGTTCCCACTCACCATCTCCAGCTCGCTGCGCAGCTTCCCAATCTGAAACACACCGTGGGCTGCGGTGAGAGAAGCCAGGGGTCTGGAGCTGTTGCTGCAGACAGGGACAGAGGCCACCACCACTGGTCCTGGGTGTCGCACTGGGGTGCCGGCCTGCCAGCGCCGTCTCTAGGCAGCCCCACTCCTGCCTCCAGAGCCACCGCCCTGCACTAGGAGGCCGCGGTGGGCCTGCCCACCCCCGTCCACAGACCCCTCACAGAGGTGCTACCAACCGTCACCATCTCCAAACGGGGGAGCCTGGGGCAGGGAGAGGCTGAAAGGAGACAAGCTGAGTGGGAATGAAGCACCGGCCGTGGCTGGAAGACTCCAGAATCTCCTGGGCCCAAAGTGGCAGCTAACAAGGCCCTGGAGGGCAGCTCTCCCGAGGGGTGGAGGGAGGTGGCAGGCCCTCTCTCTGCTCCAAGGAGGACTGGGAATCTGTCCTCTCTGTGCTCCTGGGACTGGGAATCTGCCCTCGCTCTCCTCCTAGGACTGGGATTTGGCCCTTTCTGTTCCTAGGAGGACTGGATTTTATCTTGCTCCCGGCCTGCTGGGGTGTCCTAGGCTCGTCCAAGGATGCAAAACATTTGATATATTTGGCTTATTTAATGACCTCTTGGTATAAGTGAGAGGAAAACCACTGATCACAAACCCAGTGTATCCAAATCAGATGGGACTTAATTACAGAGGAGTCTGGGAGTAGCATCAATGCACATCTGAATGTCTTAATGTGTCCCAGGAGACAGAAGGGGACTCTGAAGTTAAACAAAGTCAGTTTTGTTAAGCAAGAACGTTCTTGCACTAGAAGTAATCAGAATCTTAATCCACGCTCATGCTAGACTTAAGGCAAGTAAGTTAAAATTATAACCAGGTTGAATAATTTTTGGGCCACGAGGTGGTTTTGCAATTTTTTACCGCCTTTTATTTATTTTGTCCAGTTAGTAAAACTTTCCTGGTAATATTTGTAACTCTAGGGGGTGATTTCATAACTTCCTATGAGATAACAAATTACAAAAGTTTCTCTTCAAACAGCTTAGGGTGAGAACAAGTCCAACCGACACATACGAGCGGTCAGTGGGGACACTTCTGTGGAAGTTCCGTCAGGTACCTGTATCTTTCTCTCCAGCACATTCAGCAGCTCAGCCTTGACATTTAGCTGATGTTCTGGGTCTCAAGTCGGTAAAACACCTCAAAAGTGGGTACCCTGCCAGTGTGCAGGTCCCTGCCCCATCCTTAGAAGCCAGGTCTAGGATGACCGAGCTCCCAGCTAGCACCGGGCACAGCTGTGGAGTCCCCCCGCAGGTAAGGCAGCTTTGGCACTCCACAAACAGCTCGTGCCAACGGGCAAGTCGCCTCAGCTCCAGCTTCAGGAGGAAGAAACTGAGGCACAGAGGTTGCCTCCTAAGTCAGTGTGCAACCTACTCTGTGGCGGGTGGTCCTTCAAAGCCAGTCACAGGGCCCTGGGAAAACCTACCCCTCTAGCATCTCATACTAAGCCTCAAACCTTCTTCTGGAGGCTTTAAGGAAAGCAGCATGGTGCAATGCAAATGTTTTTTGTTTTTGGCACAGATGTTTTAAAACTGTTTTCAGCCAGAACCTCAGTTCAAGTGAAACCTTCTGGGAGGATGTAAGCAAACCACACGCGGGGGAGCGGCCCTGGTGGCAGGGGGCTGTCTGCCGGGCATTTCCTCCCCACGGTGCTGCTGGAGGGCTCCACGGAGAACAGTTTGCAAAAATGGCCAAGGTACGGGGCAGCACGTCCCAGGAGTCAACAGACCTGAGCTTGAATCCCAGCAGTCTCTGCTAAGCTGTGTGCTCTGGGCAAGTGAATTTAGCTCTCTGAGCCTCATCTCTCAATGGGAAGATGCATACATACCCTGTGGGCCGTTGTGGAGATGACATGGCGGCTCAGCAGGCAGGAATTTCCAGACTGACGGGGCCCCTCCCTGACGTGAGTGGAGAGAGGCTGGGCCCACCTGCCTTGACCTGATGCTCCTGACCCCAGGCTTGTTTACCTGATCGGAGGTTGGCACTATGGGTGTGTCGCCGGGGAGTACGACTGGGGTGGGCACAGGGGCAGCATGCTGGCTGGAGTTCCCTCGCTGACTGGTGTCAGTGCCCACCGAGTTCTGTCCTGATGGTGTCTCGGAGTTGAACACAGTCTAGAGGGCAAAGCACAGGGTCAGCAAGGCTCCTGGGAAGGACAAGGCCGAGGGGGTTGCGGCCAGTGGGGAGGGGCCGCTGGTCCCCCTGGGATGATTCCTGCCTCCCTTGCCACCCCGACATGCTGACTCTCCTCACCCTCTGGGGTGTGTGGATGGGCGACAGCATGTCCAGGTCGGTCATGGGGAACTCCAGGCCCTTCCTCCGCAGGTCCTCATAGACGGCGACAACACCTGTCAAATCGGGCGAGCTGCGGAACGCGTCAGCCCAGGACTGAGAGGGGACAAGGGGACACGGCCGGTAACCACTGCTCACCTTCTCTCCTGCAAGCCCACTGAGCTGGGCATCCAGAGAGGGAACAGAAATTCTTTCCCTGACTTGCTGGTCCCTTTACTACACCCGCACAGCCCACTCCATGGCAACGCACTCAGCCAACAAGCCTCCCCGCACCCAGAACACCCCAAAGTGAGAGCGAGAGCCTGGGGCAAGCGGGGCACCTCCTCACTGGCCTAGAGCTCTCCGCAGCCCCACCCCCACGCCCTGGTACTCACCTGGATGAGGTTGAGCACCTTGTCGTGCACGATGGTGGGCGGGTTGTTCTTAGGCAGGATGGTCCTCACGAGCACACTCTCCACGAAGTCCTGGCTGGCCACCAGCACGTGGAAGCGGTGCCCACAGTTCTTGACACAGGTTTCTAAGACCTGGAGGGCCGAGAGGCGCCTATGAGCCCCCGAGTCAGAGGAGAGGAGGTGCCCAGGGCCTCTACCCTCAAGGCTCTTGCTACTTCCAGCGGCTCGTTTACTGGGGGGAGTCCAGCCTGGGACGGGCAGAGGGCTGGTGTGTGGGCTGGAATTCCCTTCCTGTCTGGTGTTAGCGCCTGCAGAATCCGGATGCTATTTCTGAGCTGAACGTAGTCTAGAGAGGAGGGGCTCTTCAAGAGGAAATCAAAGAGGACCTAAGCTTCCAATCTACTGGTGACCTTGTGGCCCGAGGAAAAGGCACCAAACTTCCCTCCCCACTCTGTTTCCCACTTCCTGGCAGAAGCTGCCTTTGATTTCAGTTTAGCAGCAGTTACCTAGATATAAACGCTGCCTGTTGGGGAGGCTGGGACAGAGTGTCCCCCTGCCCCCAGCCGTCCTGCCAGCTCGGATGCCCACTCGCACCTGGCTGTCCTGGGGTCTGGCAGGTTCAGTGGTGGGGGCAAGGCGGTTCTCAGCCACTGGCATGTACAATATTTTACATTCATTTTTCAGAGCACCAGAGTACCAGGCAGCACCTGATTCTGTCTGCCAGGCTCCCTGATGCCCCAGAGAGGCCCGAGTTTACGGAGCTTCTACGTCGCCTGTAAGTCCTTTGGCCTAGGCCCTCCATGCCAGTGGCTCTAGAGAGATATAACCTCAGTAGACTGCGGAGGACCTTCCCAAATGTCCTCTCTTGCCATTCCATGTCCACCAGCAGTGTAGGCAGGACAGCGCTTTGCCCACAGACCTTTCCTTCCCAGCCCTCAGACGAGGCGCCCAAGGGTGGCTGGGAGTCCCACTGGGTCTGAGGGGAGGCGGCTTGTTCAGCGGACTGCAGTTCTGCCACGGGACGGAGGAACGGCCGGATGGGGCACTCACCGTGAGGGCCAGCATCACCTCGTGGAAGTTCTTGTTCCCCACGATTCTCTTCTTCACGGCTCGGACGGCATCTCTGGGACTAGCAAGGACAAAAGGAAGGATGCGCTTGAGAACGGAGCCTCCTTACTCACCATGGGAGCCTGCTTGCCTAGAGCCAGAGCCCCTGTAGAGCTGGACTGGCCCTCGTGTGCCCATCGCCCTGCGCCACAGCTGCTCTGCGCGTCCAGGGCGATCACATCAGAATCTCCCTACCCCACCAAAATCCTCTAGGAGGTCGTGACTGCTTAGCAGGCTTCTCAGCGTGTGCTCCCTGAATCTCCTGCAGCACAATGGGGGGAGGTGTGAGTGTTTGTTAAAAATGCAGACCCCTGGGCCTCCACCCTAGACCAGCTCGACTAACTTCTCAGGGCGTGGGGCCGCAGAATCTGCGTGCTTCGTGTCCCCCCCTCCCCCACGGAGGCTTCTTATGTGTGTGCTGAAGTTTAAGAATGAACAAGCTACAGGCAGTGTCCTAGGCCCCATCTGGTCAGCTCCTCTATCTGTCTTTCTCCCCATCCATGCAAGTTTTATTAAGCCTCCAACATGTGTGGAGCATCGTGCTAGGTGCTGGGGACACTGGGGACAAGACCACACGGCCCTGCTTCCAAGGATCCCATGTTTTGGGGAGACCCAAAGAACAGAAGGGAATTAGCAGGTCCTGGGGGAAGAGTGGGGTGGGGGTAGTGGGAGGAGACCTCCAAAGAGGTGGCATTGCAGCTGGTGCGAAGGGTGGGGAGGACTAGCTGGGGTGGAGCGGGGCTGAGCTGTTTAGGTCAAGGCCTCCGGGTGAGGAGGAGCTTGTCCCTCAGTGGAACTAAGAGGAGGGAGGCCACACTGAGTGTAGGGAAGGCGGAAGGAGGGGCCAGGAGGCCTGGGGTCACGAGAGGGAGGGTGGGTGTACCTGAGTGTGGTGGGAGGCCCCTGGAAGCCTGGGAGGTAGCCCACTCTCCCTGCCCCGTCCATGGCTCCACCACCGCAGCCCTGCACGGGCATGGCCAGTGTTGTCCTGACCACTCCTGCTCCCACCCTGAAGGCTCCCCGACCTCCACGTCCATCAGGTGAAGGCCCAGTTAAAATCTACTCCCTCCATGACATTTTCCCAAGTCCTCCAGTCTCCCCAGCATGTTCTGCCAGGCGACGCTGACCCAGGGGCCTGGGTAGAGAAGCAGCCTCCTAGAGGGCAGGCTCTTTGGACACCTTCGCCCCAGAGCTCGGCATGCTGCAGGAGCGCGAGTAACATTTCCCAGGCCGCGGAGTGGCTGTCGGGGCGTCTGGCTGTCCGCCTGCCTGTCAGTGCTGGCCCTGGCCAGGGAGAAGTCAGCAGAGTCTGGAGCCCTGGCCCCCGTGCTCAGGAGCGACAAAAGCAAGGCTTCCTGGGGACGAGGCCTGGATGAGGGTGGGGCTGTGGGAGTGGTCAGGGCTGTGTAGTGGAGAGGACCAGGGCGGGGCAGGTGAAGGACTGTGGCCTGCGGTGGGAGGAGGGGACCTTGGCCCAGAAGCATGAGAGCAGTTTTCAACCCGAGCCACCCTGGGGCAGCTCCTCGCCCTTCCCCGGCTCCTTCTTGGGGAGCTGGCTTTGGTTCCTGGCTTGGCCCCTGACCTGTGGGCCACTTCAGTGCTCTATGGGGACTTGTTCCCACTTCTTCTAGGGGGCCTGGGGGAAAGGACATGGCGCTGGGCATCAGGAGTTGTGGCCTGTGTCTCTGTCGTGGGCCCCCCGGCGTCCAGTACTCCATCGGGAGCACAGAGTGTGCGACAAGGAGGCCACAACCCAATGGGGAGAGTCACTACTGAGACACTAAAGTTTAGCCGACACACTTGCTTGGTGAGGTCAAGGGTCATGCCTGCCTTCGCTCGCTGCTGGGTCCCCAGGGCCTCGTGCAGTGCCTGGAACATGAGGCACTCCAATGGATAGCAAGTCAACAGCAATGCATCTGAACCCCCTGAGCCCCAGTCCCCCCATGTTTGTAAGGGACATGGGGGCTTTGCTGTCTCCAAGGATACTGTGGTGACTTTCAGCTGCTGCATCCATGGAGCTCCCAGGCCTTTCTAGAGGCCCATAAGGTTTTCTGTCTCCTGTCTTCTCTCCTGGTGGCCCTGCCATCTGTCCACCACTCCCACCACCCTCCCTCACTCTGCCGAGTCCTAGGCAAGACCAGGGAGCAGGAGCGGGGCGGCCACTGCCCTCTCCTGACTGGGCCTTGACTGTGTGACTCAGACGCCCACAGCCTCCCTGGAGCTGGGAGCGAGGTGCTCCCTGCCCCCTGCCTGCTTCCAGCCTGGCCCTCTACACGCAGAGCACTGTGGGCTGAGGGGAACAGCCTACACAGTCTGAGGGATGGCTGGATTGCCGCAGTGAAACACGGAGAGGGAAATGAGGTGTTGATCCATGTGTGGGGCCTGACTTCCCAGAGCAGAGGCCTCCTCTGGCAGCACTCCCTGCCGGCGTGGCCCCCACCCTGCTCCCACCCTTCACCGCGTTCTCCTCAGAGGACAGAGACCCTCACATGCCCAGGGACTTGGGCTTATTGCTGGAAGGATCTAACGGAGCTTTGCCTTTGAGGAAAAAGACCTAAGAAGTAAAGTGCCTCGTCCCAGGTCACGAGGCTAGTCAGTGACAGCTAGTCAGACACCTGAAGCCAAGACCCCAAGTCCCCCCATCAGCTGCCTTAGCAGAGCACACCTTGACCCCGACAAGGCCACGCCCCAGCCTCTCGGTTCTGCTGCACTGTCACTGCCTTCCTCGTGATACCCTCCCCTCGGGCTGGTGTCCCATCTTAAGGAAAGGAAAGTCCGTTTTTGTTCTCAGAGAAAAGTTGGACGTCCCTCACGCCTATTGCAGGCCGCAGAATGCAGACGGCACTTGCGGCCAACTCCTAATTGTACGTCTCCAGCTCGCCTGTGCGAGGGGGACGCTGCACACAGGCTGGGTGGGGTGGCAGCACCCAGGGGCCGGTTGGCCAGCTGTCCACCCACCGTGAATTCCCGCCTTGGGTGGGGCCCCGGGACCAGGGCCTTGGACAGTTTTTGCGGCCTTTCTTGGACCGAGGGCCACAAGCAGGGTGGGGCCTTGAGGCTACAGCAGTAGTGGGGCTGGCGTGGGGGGTCCCTGCAGGGTGCAGGCGTGTGCTGCAATGTGGCTGGTGTCCCCTGTGTGCCCCCGCCCTCACCTCGCAGGGCCCTTACCCTTCCTCGGTCTCGTTGATGATGTCGCAGATCTCCATGTTGAGGGCCCAGTCCTCGCTCTGCAGGGAGCCATCTGTAGCTTTCTCTGGGGAGAAGACACCACACGTCACGAAGGTCTGTGTGGGGATCTCGGTGGACAAATTCAAATAGTGGGGTGGAGAGAGTCGGGGGCAGGGCGGGAAGAGGTGGGAGAGGAGGGAAGACAGTGGATGCTTTGGGCACCCAAGATGGGCCAGGCACTCGGTAAAACCATTTTACATACGTTACCTCGTTGTCACTTGATTCTAGTAGTAGCCACCAGAGGCCAGGAGGACCCTGTCCTTTAACAGGTGATGAAACTGTGGCCCAGAGCCTACCAAGTGGATGAGCGGGGACAGAGCCTAGGCGGGCCTCAGAGAGCTTGTTTTTGACAAGCAATGTAGAGACAGTGTTTTGCTTTATTTTTGCACATAAGATGTTCCTTCATGACATTATATTAGCTTTTGAGTAGGTAACCATCGCGTGGTTCAACATGTAACAAGTTCCAAAGCAGCATACCCCACTTCCCACAGGCACCCACTGCAATCGGTTTCCTCTGTAACCCCCAGAGACCTTCCCTACTAGGAAGCAAAGACTTCATTACCAACGGGTAACCGGGCCTTCCCATCCCCTTTGAGCCAGTTTCTTCCCAGAGATTGGGCTAACACACAGCCACCCTGCAGAACCACACCAAGGAGTAGTGGTGATTCCAACAAGGTATCAGCGTGGTGCTCACATAAAATCAGTGCCCAGTAACTAGTGGCGGTTTTTTTTTTTTTTTAAATTGAAGTGACAGTCACATAACATAAAATTAACAGTTTTAAAGCACATAATTCAGTGGCATTTAGTACATTCTCAATGCTGTGAATGCAACCACCACCAACTCTATCTAGTTCCACGACATTTGCACGTTGTGGCGGTTCCTAGGGTAAGATTTCCAGGCCAGGAGTCAGTGAGGGGGTTCTTGAAGCCTGTCAGAGCCAAGGCCAGGACCATTTGCCACGGATCTGCCCTGTAGCAAGTACCAGGCTGGCAGCCCTCCGTAAACTCTAGTGCGGGAGGCACCGGCTGGTTGGTGTTAGGGAATGATGAACCCAGGAACTGACAATGCCAGGACCTTTATAAACATTCTTCCAGACACAGGAACACTGTCCCTCCTCTCACACACGGCCGGCCCATTTTCGCTGCCCTCTGCATCCTCCTAGATGCTATCCTCATGCCGATCAGGTTGACAGAGCGCACACAGAGCATTCTGTCCCCTGCCCCTCGCGGGCAGCATTCTGTCGTGCACACCACCCGGCTGACGTGCATGTTTACCACGTGTAGGACTCTGTGACGAGACAGGCCTTGCTCAACATTTTAAGGTTCAGAGGGTGAGGCCCTTGGTGTCCTGATGCAGGCCACTACCCAAGTTCCCTGTCCTGTGGCCATCAGCTGTCTCTGGTCTCTGGCTCGCAGACCCTGGCTCCAGACGTGGAGTGCTCACACGCCTGCTGGCCTCGGGGCACCTGATGACAGGCCTGTCTGGCACTTGGGCACAGCGCTGCCAGCTGTCCATCACCTACAAAGTGTGCGAGACAGACTATGCACGTGAGGTCACACTGTTCTGCAAGGGAGGATCTGTCATCACCGCCGTAGCCAGGAAGCAGCTGAGGCTCGGGAGGGTGCGTGACACCTCACTTTCTGCACAGCGACTGGCCAGGCCCGTTCCAGGCACTGGGATTGAAGAGGTAGACAAGACGGGCCTGGTCCCTGCCCTAGGGTGCCCACAGGAGGTCAAAGCATGTTCTAAATTAGATCTGTCAGAGGACAGAGGAGGGCAGTCTCCGTGTGACTGGGCGGGGCCCTCTGCTAGCCGGGCCGGCACAGCCAGCTCTCTAAAACTGTGGCTTTTGAGACCTTGGTTTTGAAACTGGCCCAACTCCAGTTCCATCCTCTGGCCCAGGTCCTGAGCCAGACAGATGCCAGGGTGGCCTAGGACACATGCCAGGCGGCTGAGGCAGAGGATGGTTGCTTTACTCCCAGATTATGGCCCAAGGGGAGGAGATAAGACAGGCTTGTCCATCCCGTGAACGTTCCCTGCGTGTGGCTTCTCTGCCCCACACTCCCCACCTTTGGAACTCCCATACTTACAGAGCCACCTGGGAAAACAGAGCGGGCCGAGCCTCTGCACAGAGGGTGGCACCCTGCTCTGGAGGGGGTAGTGATTAGTCACGTTAGTGTTAATACGCACAGCCTGCTCCTCCAGCAGAGGCCACGTCTCGGCGACCCCAGTCACATGGGCCGGAAGGATTTGCGCCACCCCTGACTCCCAGCCTGCATCTAATGGCCACGAGCTCCTGCTCAGCCCTGCTCTGCAATCTCTCTTCATCTCTCTCCCTCGCACCTACCTACTCCCCTCTCACCCCCCAGCCCAGCTGCCCCAGAGGGAACTTTCTGAAATTTGAAAATGACCGCATCCCTCCTGTGCCCAAGTCCTTCCAAGGCTCCCTAGTCTTCAGCTTGTCCTACATGCCATGCCCTTCCACAATAATAATATTTTGACTTCCCAAGTCATGTACTACTTAATATCAAGCATTATTAGCTATCTATATAAAGAATGAGATTTAATCTTCATGCCCTACAAGGTGTGCATTGTTGCCCTCATCCAACTAATGAGGAAACTGAGGCACAGAGAAGCCAGTGACTTGGAAGGGCCACACAGTGGTATGGGAGGGGGTGGCCACTGATGCCAGAGCAGGTCCCCCCGTATCTCAGCAGGGACAGGGAGCTCTGCTTTCCCAGCAGTGTCCTTCCCAACCACTCAGGCAATCTGCTTTCCCCTCTCCGACCCTAAGGCCACTGGACCCCTTGTCAGATCCGCTTATGACCCTCCCGGTGCCCCTGAAAATGATGGGCACCTTTCTTCTGGTGGAGAGAGTATCAAGGTTTTAAAAGGGATTATGGTCGATTTAGAAAGGCAAGTGGCTATTAAAGGGAAGTTGGGATATTTATAAATAAGAGAAATCTCATACCAGGGGATCAGGTGGGCGTAGAAGGACTCCCGGAGCACGAGTCTGAAGCAACCTGAGCAGCGCTGGCCAGCTCTTTGGCCCTGAGTGGCGGCAGTGGGCAGGGCCATTCAGAAGATGGAGGGTATTTTTGGGTGGTAGGAAGGGACAAGTGGCCTAAACAGGAAAGTAGCAAGGAGGAGGCAAAAGCAGGGTGAGAACCATCTGAGCAACTCCAGGAGACAGCAGTGGGGAGGCCGAGGGAGACGCCTGCCCCGACCATCGCCTGCTGCCTCCCTCCCGCTCCCCCTGGGTCTGGGCGTGGACTGCAGGATGGCGGGGTTATGGGACTTCCTTCAGATTTCCTCGGGGTAGGCGTGCCCCATCAAGGGCAGAATTTTAAACCCACAGGAATCTGGGCATATTTGTTTTGTTCTGTTCTAACTCAGCTTGCTATTTTAAGAAGGGGGAATAAAAACACTGACAGTGGTTACTCAGAGAATGATAACTGACTCCTTGTCCTCAGAGCTGTTGGCAGTCACCTTCAAGGTCCCCTGGGTAGCGGCTGTGCTCCCGTCTCCCAGCTCCTGAGGGAGCCAGGCCCTGCAAACCTCGGCTTGTCATTAGCGGCTTTGCTGTCGGCTACGGCTGGCAGGCCTGCGGTTTCGGATCATCGGGCACCTGTGTGTCTGTTCGGCAGTTTGTCCTCTCTGTGTGGAGCCTGTTGCAAACACCCCTCCCCAGAGGGCTCCAAATAATCTGCCTGGCACAATGGCAAGACCCACCTGCCCCTCACGGAGAGTCAGTACGGGCAGCGGTGCAGGCTTTGGAGTGGGACGAGTCTGGCCTCACCTAGCTCAGAGACTGTGTGCAAAGCTCCAACCCTCTGAGTCTCTGTTTTTGCATCTGTAAGATCAGGATGAGACTGCTGGCCCCACAGGGCCTTGTGACCTTTCAACCAGACAATGTCAGAATTATCAGGAAAGGTTAGCAATGAGTGACTGAGCTGCAATGACGGTGACCTAGGTCAAGATAAAGAACGAGTGGTCATCAAACACACGTCACGCTTAGCCACGCTCCAGGCAGTTGGAGCCTGGTCCCAGCCTGCTCACCCTCAGGGGTGACTCAGGATCCTGGGCATGACAGTGCCCTCATGGCTACGTGGCCGCCCTGCTCCTGCAGCTGTGGCGGAGGCCATCTCTGTGGGTGCTCCGCGGAACCACAGGCGGCGTCAGGAACTCGGGCAACAGTACCACCTCCTTCCACGCCGGGCTTCTGGGAAGCAGCCTAGATCCTTCTCCCCCCAGTTGCTGTTCCAGCAGTCACCAAGGCTCTCATCATCAGTGGGGTAGCTCTGGCTCAGGCCCTGTCACCCTGCCCAGGCCTGGACCATCACCTCCACACTCTTCTCCTCAAACACCAATCTAACCACGACTCCTCTCTGTCTAAAAATTGTCCACAACCCCCACTGCCCGAGGGTCCGAAACCTGAACTGCTCAGGGACCGGCCTCGGCCACCGTTGGCTGCGCTGCTCCCTCTATGAGCCTAGTCATTTCCTGCCCCTGGGCTCCCGCAGAGCAAGGGACTGAAAACACATCACACCCTCGGTCAGGGGCACAGAGAAGGTGGCCACTTGCCCTCGGTCCGGTTTGTGAGCTGAGAGCAGAGCTTCGATCCCAAAGAGGTCCAGGTCTCAGGTCCACACTCCTAACCACTACGTACCTCCCAAACACACTCAACACTTGTCGTCGTCCGGGCCCCAGGGAGACAGCGGGGAGCAAAACCAGCAACCTGCCCTTGGGAAACTTACAAAAGGTCAAGGTTCCGTGACAGAAAAGACCAGGTGCCGAGACAGGGCAGGGTGTGCCCACGGAGAGGAGGAAGTGAGCTGGCAGATCCCTGCTCATCTTCCAAGGCGTCGCCTCCTCCGGGCAGACAGCGCCACTCCTCGTCCTGCACCATGACAACAGCATCACGGAGAACAAACACCAGCATCCACTGAACAAGAGTCACCTGTGCAGGGTGTACCAAAGCTGCGGGAGTTAGGGGGCAGCCGATGTGTGGAGGGGAGTGACTT